GTGTGTGTGTGTGTGTGTGTGTGTGTGTGTGTGTGTGTGTGTGTGTGTGTGTGTCCTAATACACATTGCTGCTTTTTATCAGTTACCGGTACTTTATGCCATGAAATTAAGATGTTCTTTAACCTGTTTAATTTACTGTGAAGAAACAAACCAATTATAATATAGATGTATGTGTGTGTTCATAATTTTTTTTACCTTTATTGTTATTTGCTAATATAAATGAAATATTCTTCTTTTCCAGTAATGTGAAACACAATTTGAAGTGCTGGCCATGTGCTTTATTTGCAGGTTATTTCTAAGTAAGTAAAGCCAATCAATTGCATATGCCACAACATGTATTTGTACTTTACCTAAATGAGTAAATATACTTTTGTTTTACAGATCTCCCTCCTGCACCTGCTAAAACCTTTTCCAATGGACCTGCTGTCAGGTAACATCTGTATATGTTTGCATTACATATACCGTGCACAAATATTTTTTCAGTTTTTTTAACTGGTTTGTTCTTTGTACTATTCCATCAATGTACCAGCTTGTCTGGGAGATAAAAAGACCAAGAGCTGCTGGTTCCAGTTTTATCCCTGAGGCCACCCCCTGAACAGGTAAGTGTTGACAAGATTAGATGGTCAATCAATCACATGCCACAACTTATTATTTATTTATTATTATACTTTATTACTTTATCTAAGAGTAAATGTACTTTTGTTTTAAAGATACCTTCCTGYCTGCTCCAAYCTTTTCCAGTGGACCTGCTGTCAGGTAATATCTGTAAATTTTAATATTTAAATACTGTATGCACACACATTTTTCAGTACTTATTTGTCTTTTTTTTCCTTGGCATGTCTGGGAGAAAAAAGACCTAAAGCTGCTGGATCCAGTTGTACACAAAGAAGTACCTGTGAGGCCAACCCTGTAATGGGTAAGTGCTGACTATTTTAGTTTTTGTTTTCTCTTGTTTGGAAGATCAAAACTGACATAATTAGAAATAAAACAGAAGTATACTGTACGAATGGACTGATAAATTAATAAATACACTAAAAATGCATCAATTAAATTAAAAAGGAGAAATTTACCTCATGCTTTCTAATTTAATTGACCTATTTGTTTTTCCAGGTTAGTTCCAATAAATTATATATTTCTGCACATAATTTACATTTTACTGTATTTTCAAAATATGTACTTTAGTTTTTTCTTGTAGATGCATGTGTGTTTCTTATTGTTTAATATTCAATTAATGTTTATATTTTTTCCCACAAGTCCTTTTTCTTTTCCATGTGTCTTACATTTTTCTGTCTCCTGTTTTTA